ACGGAAGGCTGAAGGATCCGAGGTGGAAGTCGAAGAGTCTGCGCTAGAAGCCAGGAGACGAAGTCCAAGCTGAAGGTGAAGACTGGAGCTCCTCCAAAAGGAATGGAAGTACCTCTGTCCTTCTTCATTTCCCTTTTATATTATCTAGGTGATGATCCACCCTAGGGTGGCTCCTCTATACCCTAGGGTGTAGAATTGCTGAGCCAATTGCGGAGCCAAGTTTAGTTATGCTTCTAAACTTCTCAAGTTGACATAATCAATCAATCACTACAGCAAGCAAGTCACCACTAGGAAAAAAGCAAGTTCTGACCATAAAGGAGAGTACGGATGTCCTGTGAGCAGATGCTATTTTAAGCTCACATTCTGTTAGCTCTTAGACTGCACAGCTTTCCTACCTTGGGAGTGGGCTTACTCCTAGAGAACGGGAAGGTGTGTTCATTTCTACACTGTTCACATTTCGAGCACAGAGGAACAAGGGCCGTATTTTGGGGTACAGTGGGGACATTAGATACCTAGGGTAGAACCTGGGAAGCCACCAAGAGCAGGGTTCTGAAGTGGCTGACAGCAAGGAGCCACAACTTCTTGATCTGAGGAACAGTTTTCAAACCAACTCCTCAGGTGGCCTGCGGGAGGCTGACCAGACCCCCAGATACCAAGGAAGGGACTGGAGTAAAGAAGGACAATCTCCTCTTGGTATTAGGGGGGCAGGGGAGAGACTGTCTCTAGTGGACTGACGGTGCTGCCCATTTTTATTAGTCCTCGAGAAGCTGTGGGGGTACACTTTTCTGGAACAGCTGTAGGAATGGGGATCAAGTTTATCATTTCAAAGAGAACAAGATAAAGTCCTTCCCCTAGATTCCTGCATTTTACCTTGTCTCAAGAGGCTGTGAGTATGAGCGTTCCCAACACAGCCAGAGAGCATGCAGCTATTTGCAAACTTTACTGTCGTGTGAGACAAATCACACCAGCTCAGACCTGGGACCACAGTCATACGGCCTGGTCCCTAACATAAATCATAATATAAACTGTTACTTCCTACCCCCTTGTCCCCAGCAGTGGCCTCTGGTGATTATGAACTTCCCAGAAGTGTGTGCCATGTGCCAAGAGAGCTAAGATGGGGAGGTAAACAGCCAGGAAATGTGATCCCTGGAGAAGGGGCGTTTCTTCAGGGGTTTAGGATGGGTGTGATTTGCTGGGTGTGGCGGTGCATATCTGTCATCCCAGCACACTGGGAGGCTGAAGCAGGAGAATCAAAAATTCAAGCCCGGCAACTTGGTGGCTTAGCAAGACCCTGTCTCAACAATTGAAAGTAAGAGCTGAGGGGCGCACCTGTCTGCAGGGTGCCCACTGGTGCCCTGGGGCAAAGGTTAGCAGTTCAGCAGGGGCTGCGAAGAATCAGACTGAGCAGAAGAGAACTGGAAGCACCACAGAGACCACGCACAGGGTTCGGGCCTGAGCTTCTGACCGACCAGGCAGCACGAGCGTCCGCCGGGGCTCTGAATGAGGCACGGGCAGTGTGGGAAGGACTCACAGGAATGGCAGGCAGCAATGGGGTGAGCTGTCCCAAGGCATCAGCAGGAAGGGGGGACCAGGGGGAGCCCCAGGGCAAGGGAATGTGGGGATGAAGGCAGCGTGACTTGGGACGGGACAAAAGAAGAGGGGATCGAGCCTCCTGGGGCAGCCCCAGGTTCACACAGAGGGAAGAGTACAGGGATGATGCGGGGGAGGTAGCGGTAGAAACGCTGGTGCAGAGCTCAGGAGGCACCACCTTCCCCGGTTGTTACATCATCATTATTGTACTGCCTGCATTCTACCATGAGCTACAGCCCCAGCCCTTCTCAGTTTTGGGGGGACTTTTTTTTTTATTTTGGGATACAGCCTCGCTAAATTGCCCTGTCTGACCTCAAACTTGTGATTCTCCTGCTTCAGCCTCCCAAATAGCTGGGATCATAGGTGTGCGCCACCACACCTGGCTCCCAAATCAGGACTGTCTGTGTCATTGTACGTATGATTCCTTCTGCCAGGATGCTTTTTACCTGCTTTACCAGCTTACTGCTGTCTACCTGGCAGCCATCCATTCACGTCACCTCCTCTAGGAAGCCCCCCAGGATCTCTGCTATGTGTCCTTGCTTCTCCCAGGGGTCCCTCTGCCCTCAAGCTGCCCTGTAGCCATGTCTGTCTCCCTGGGGAGGGCTGGGCTCAGACTCACTTGCCTGTCTCACCAGGGCCTACTCAATGCCTGGCACATAGCAAGTGCTCAATCTGTGTTTGTTGGTGCAGTCAAGAGAGGATCAGAACTCCAAGCCAAGAGTGTAGTGAGGCAGTGGACTCAGGACTGAAACTTGGGGAGCAAAGTAAGCAGAGAGCACAGCCTCTCAAAAGCCTGTGTCACTGGGTGTGGTGACGCACGCCTGTAGCCCCAGCACTCAGAAGGCTGAGGCAGGAGGATCGTTTTGAGTTCAAGACCTAGGCTACAACGTGAGCTCAAGGCCAGGCTGAACTGCATAGCGAGACCCTGTCTCAAAAAGCCAAAAAAAAAAAAAATCCTGTGTCACCTGTGGTGGCTGGGGCTGCTCCCCTCTTTGACGCCCCTCTCCTAGGTCACACAAGTTTTCTAGTCTGCCGGAACACCCTCCCTGGGCCTCTCCACTAAGGGGTACCTTGCTCCCATCCTGGCGCTGGTCTGTGCCCTCCCTCATCCTGTGCCCTACAGGCGCTACCCGTGGGAAGCTCTGGCAGGACAGCAAGTGGAAAGAGAAGAGGCCTGCGCTTTTCCTGGCTCTGAGTGTGGAGCTGAGCGGAGGGAGGGGGCCCCGGGCGCCCACCAGGGGGCAGTGGTGGGCCTAGGGCTGTGCAAGCTGGGGCCTGGGCGCCTTCACCTGGGCACCTACACACAGTTCTGTTCGTTTGTTTGTTTTTGTGGTTTTTCTCTGGTACCGGGAACCAGACTCACGACCTTGCGCTTGCCAGGCAGGCGCTTTTGCCGCTGAGCTAAATCCCCAGCCCCCTACACACAGTTCTGTTTGAAAACTCAGAGTGGCTCTGTTGCCCTGGTTGGATCTGCCTGGTCCAGCATACTCTAGCCCTCCTTGTGCCAGCCTCGCCACCCTCGGGATGGTTGAAGCCCTACCTGCGGTCTCGTGCCCCAGGTCAGGCTACTTGCCAGACTGGAAGCTCGCTGTGCGCTGGGGGCTCTGTGCTGCTCCAGAACCGGGCCACTTCTGTAAGTGGAAAGGAAGAGACTAAAGGAGGAACAGAGCCGGGCATAGTGGCACACACCTGTGATCCCACACTCGGGAGGCTGAGGCAGGAGGATCGCCACAAGTTTGAGGCCATTCTGGGCTACATAGTGAGTTCAAGGTCAGCCTGAACTGCACAGTGAGATCCTGTTTCAGCAACAGCAACAGCAACAACAAAAACTAAAGGAGTGACCCTTGGAGGGCAGGAGCACCAAGACGAGGCACCTGAATAGACTCTCAGGGGAATGAGAGCCTCCAGAAGAGCTGAGGGTGATATGGAAAGGGTACTGAGGTGGGGAGGTGCCCTAGGCGGGGAAAACCAACCAGGAAGTGAGAAGAACTGAGTCAAGCCAGGGCTCCCTACGAGGCCTGGAACGGGGGTCTCAGGAAGGTCTGTCCAGTCCCCACTATGGCCAGGGTATCTGTCCCCAGTGCCCCAGGCCCTACCCTCTGCCACTCCGGTACTCCTTCCCTCCTCACCCACACCACTGCGCCCCCTCCACTACCTCCAGAGTGGGTGAGAGAGGCGGGGGCAGGCAGGGGCCAGAGCTGGCTGGCAGTGATGCGCTGGAGATGTTACCAGTCAGCCCAGGCTGTGGGGTTCCCTGGTTGGCACCGCTGTCCACGTTCCACAGTATGAATACACTCATCTGACCAACTCCCAGCTACCAGCATGAGGTATTCCTAGAGAATAGGAAGAGAGCCCATCACACCATGCCTTCCTCTGTCCATCTGTCCCCACCCTTCCTCCTGGCTCTCCCACAGACCGCTAGACAGTGGCAGTCCCAGGAGGGCAGCACTGGCCTCTCCTCTGGGAGTGTCCACCCCCACCCCATACCTGCGCTCTTCCCAAGCAGAGGGTCTCACAGGAATGTGCAGCCCAGGACCCTGAGGCACTTGGATGATCTACCAGCCACTTTCTCACTGGACACGGCTGCACATCGTGGGCCAGTTGGCTAAACCAGTAAAAGCCAGAACATAACTTCCTTTATCCCAAACAAATAGAAAAGGACAAATGGTCCAAGGGCAGCATCCTGTGCAAAACCTACTCAGTCTTCAACACCCTTCTGTGGAACAACGGGCCCAGGCTCTCTCAGGTTCTGAGTGCACCAGGGCAGGTGCTCAGAGCAGCGCTGCTTTGAACCCTGGGCCTTCTCTTACAATAACCCAGGCAAGCCACTTCTGCTCACACTCAGTTTGCTTGCCTCTGAGTGGGGAGGATACTACTGTCCCTACACTAAGGAGTCAGGCTGCAGTTCTCATCCTGGCGCAGTGTCGATCTGTGCAGACATCTGTCAGTCTCTGCAGACATTTTTGTCTTGATGTGGGGTGGATGGGGACGCTACTGGTACCTGCTGGACTGAAGCCAAAAATAAACACTGTACAAAGCACAGGAAGTTCCCCTCTAACAATGAATTCTCTAACCCAAAACATCAGTAGTGCTAGGCTGAGACACCCGGATCTCTGAATACCCGGTGAGGTTACACCCAGGAAACACGGAGCATGGGTCTGCCTTACTTTCCCAAGTTTGGGAAAAACAGAAGCTTCTGGCACTGTGTTCCCCTCCTCTTTCCAGACCTAAAGCAGATAGGATGTGAAACCTCCTGAGTACTGAGAACTCAGTTCACTACTCTCCAGGT